TGATGGTACATTGAGAGGATCATAACCATTGCAATGAAACAAGGTGTATGATTTGTTGAATGTAAAACTGATGAACTGCCCTGTAAACTAAACGTTCGCTCAATTCACAATAAAAACACAAAATGGGCAAAGCACAAGAACAGACACTTCTTTAAAGCAGACATTCAAGTGGCCAAGAAACATGAAGCTCCAGATTATTAGCGATTAGATCAAATCAAAACAATCAGATAGCCTCTTACTCCGGCATTGATAACAACAACAACAATAATAAGAAATGCTGCTGACAGCTGAAATGCCAACAACAGAAGAATGGTTAAACACGCATACTGTGTTTAAACATACGTACTATGGAATACCATGTAATGTTGATGGATCTGCGAAATGCCTCACAACATGGATGAACCTGGAGGACATTCTGCTGAGTGAAGTGAGGCAATCACAAAAGGACAAAGATTGTACGAGACCACTTCTAAAAGGAAAATATTTTCTTGCTTATAGAAACATTTGATGATGGTAGTATTATTAGGGTACTAGGGGTGGGAGGGAAGGGAAAAGTATTCACTGGGCAGAGGGGAGACACATGTTAACTTGGATGATGGGGAAGGCAGGATACAACAAGAGGGCGGTTGGCACAGAAAGATGAAAGCAGTGGAAGACTAAGGAATGTGAGAGAGTGAACAGAGGTAAATACTGTTAACGGATGGACACGGAGGGGATTGCAATCATTGTAATGACACGAAGTGTATGATTTGTTGAATGTGGGATTAATAATCTGTTCTGCAATCCTTCATTCAATTCACAATAAAACATTTGTCCACAAACACCACAGCATAGTCCAAGGACGACAAAAACCAATGCAAACATTGGAACTAGAGTCTCACCAACCCCTCCCATGGGCACCCTGCAACGCTGACCCACACTGGCACCGCCTCTCAGGGACCAGAGGATCTCAAACTCCAGGCTCAGAAGAATCAGCTATAGTCAGACTCCAAAAGAACAGGTGGGAGGAGGAAGCCAGAGGAGGAGGGAGCAGGGAAGAAGGGAGTCAGAGGAGGAGGAGGGAGCAGGGAAGGAGGAAGGCGGGGAGAAGGGAGGTGTCTCATTTCCCCCACAGGTGCTCAGGAGGTCCAGGCAGCCAGGACCTCCTCAGAACACAAGGTTGCAGACAGGTACCTGGGTTCCGATAGAGGTTAGTGGGCATAGCTGGTGCATGGGTGTCTATCAGCCCCACGATCTTCATGTGTCCGTACTGCTTGGCCAGCATCCGGGCCGTGGCGCCACTGTGGTCTCTGGTGTCCACTTTGACCCCCTGGAAACATCATGAATGGAGAGACGTTAGGCACCTACCCTTGGAAGCAGCCTCACTTTCCAGGCCCCTGAATGAGGAGGAAGTGAGTGGCTTCTCAACACCACAGCTGGAAAGCTCCGCTGGGAGGTGGGGGTGTGTGTGTGTAGACACCTGGTCCAGAGAGAAAGGGGTGAAGGTCTGTCTGGGGAGGGGGTGTGACCTGGCTATGCCCAGCTGCTATCTCACTGTCAGGCTTTGGCTATGGCCCACCACGGTGAGGGGGAGGGGAGAAACTGGAGCATCCAGCTAGCTTGGCTGACCCTCTTTACACAGAGAAAACTGAGGGGGGCTGCAGCCTCATTAGCAAAACCTCCTTGTGTAGCCCCATGACTCCTCTTCCCAAACAGCATTTGGTAGCTTTTCTCCCAAACCCTAAAAAGTAGTTCAGGGTTTCCAGCACAAAGAGTCTATGTTACAATCAACCATTATCAGTCATCCAAGATCAAACCTCTGACCTCGCGGTCCAAAGGACTTTACAGTCCTGCGCATTAACCCACAGTGCCACACCAGGACTCCAAATCATCAGTACCATCAGCTTCGAAAAGGTGGTACCAGACTGTCGATCCAGAACAAAAGTACGAGGAACCAAAGGAAAACCTTAGACCACTGAGCTTGAGAAGAAAGGGGAGAGAAGTGGACTGAGTGTTTGCTGGGAGGAACAGCTGACAAGGGAGACTGGGGAACAGCACGCCAGATGTGGGGTAACTACCTTGAACTTTTGTGAGCAGCTTTAATGACAGAAGGTGACGGCAGAGCACATTCACAGAGGCAGCTCCCACCCTCATCCACCTACCAACCCCCACCCCATGTCACCCTGAGAAAACCCTGCTCTCCAGGGGTTTGGATCCACATGGTTGGGAGCCACACCAGTGTGAGGTGGGGGCCAGCTGCCCGGCTCAGACCTACAGAACCTGCCAAGCCGCCAGACCATACTGGTCCAGCAGAAACCCTCAGAACCTGCCCCCTTGTCCCCAGCCACCCTGTGGTCCTCACAGACACTAAAACCAGCTCCATGAAGGGCCTCCGTGAACTACTTCCAGATTGAGGGCCCTGAGCATAGAGCACACTCAGACCTATGGGAACTCCATCTAGGGCCGGAACTCCGCTGTCCCAGTCTCCCTGTAAATACCTTGTGAGCTCCTTGATTGGCAGGACCCCTCAGAGCTTTCTTCTTTCCGGGTCCAACAGCTGTACTGGTTTTGTGTTTTCCCTTTCATTGTTTCTGTCTGCTTGTGCTTTCTTCTCCTTCTCTCCCATAACTCCATTTTCCTGTCCCTCTTTATTCTTTAAGTTATCATATTGTTCTTCTCCACCACTCGTCTGTCAGTGTGTCGTACTGTGGTGGCTTGTGTGTTGCTGTGATTCTGGAAGCTATGCCACGGGTATTTTAAATACCAGCAGAGCCACCCATGGTGGACAGGTTTCAGATGAGCTTCCGGATGAAGACAGACTAGGAAGAAGGAGGGAGAGGCAGACTACTTCCGAATATTTAGTCCCAGAAAACCTTGGGACACTGTCAGCACCAGAATATTGTCAGATATAGCGCTGGAAGATGAACACCTCAGGTTGGAAGGCACTCACAACGCGACTATGAAAGAGCTGCCTCCTCAGAGTAGAGTTGACTGCAATGACCTCGGGACCTTCATTTGCTGATGGGGCACAACTCAAAATGAAGAGAAACAGCTGTAAACAGCCATTAATAATCGGAACATGGAATGTACCAAGTATGAATCTAGGAAATTGGGAACTGTCAGAAATGAAATGAAACGTATAAACATGGATATCACAGACATTAGTGAGCTGAAACGGACTGGTATTGGCCATTCTGAATCTGACCACCACATAGTTTACTATGCCGGGAATGACAAACTGAAGAGGAATGGCATC